GAAATAAAGGTGTTTGCATCAATGGTAACAGCGCCACCTCCTGTCAGTATTTGGTAGCTGTTTCATTGTAGATTTTGATATGCAGAAATTTTTCTGAGCTGAATTATAACAAAGTATTTTTTAGCATACTGTCTACTACTGAAGATATTTCTTCTTTTAAATGACTGACCAGCAATTTTTTTTCAATAAATGCCTTTATTTCATTGCCATGCTGCATTAGCCTAAACAAAACAAAAAAAAAAAAATACTGAAAACACACATTTAAGGAAAAAATAAAACTTATTGAGTAAAAACCCCTAACTTTGCTAAAATCAAAACTGTTTTTGATGTTTTTCTTTGCCTGTTAAATCATCTGCTTTTATTTCTCTTCATTGAAAAAAAGTAGAGATTTCTTAAAATAAGTCTATTTGTCTTTAATATAAGCAGATTATGGGAATATCTATAACATGTTTTTAACCTTAAAAGGAGGTAATTAGAAATTAAACACTTGAATTAATTTCTTTTTCCTATTTTAAATTTGAAAGATTTCTATTCCGTTGGACAATTATCTGCTCAAATCAAAACAAAATAAAATTATTTAAAGAAAAATTGACTTAGATTTCAATTTTTGCAGTGCACAGGTTTGAAATATTTGCTTGGATTTACATCCCTTCAGGAACACCATCATATCAGCTAAAAGCCCCAACCTTCAAAATATTTACATTATTAAATGAAAAAAAAGAATATCCAAAATGTTTGACTATTTTAGCTATTTGTTTTAGTTTAACTAGTTTAGGAAAAAAAAAAAAGTCACCACTGGGAGGTTTTGTTTAACACAGTCTAAACACACTAATTGTTACAATAACTAATTTATCTTTAATTGTTCTATGCTGGGCTTATTAACAAGCCAAGATTAGAAACCATTAATAATAATCCATGTAATATTTGTAATTCTGCATAATGTTGATAAATGCAGTCTACCTACCTATATATTACAACACTGAGAGCTAAAAGTTTATGGATAATTTTCCAAATCTCCACAGTCAAGCATAAAAACTAAAGCTAGTTTAGAACAAAGACTCATTTTTTCAGTGGTTCTAAAACATTCATTTAAACTCGAGAACTTTTTAAAGAAATGCAATATTTGTCAGTCCACTTAAAATAATTAGGTTTAGCTTTTATATAAGAGTGAGCAGGAATTAAATACTGTATAATTATTTATGGCCAGTATTAACATTTGTTAGGATTTATAATTATTTTTGGTTGAAGAAAACGAAGCAGGATGATCGCCTCTTTATTCTTTGCCTTAAACTTAAACTCAGGAGCGTCTAGAGGAATAAATGTTTTATTCTGGCAGATTGTTTAGCTTGATTCATCAACTAAACTCTATTATTAATTAGATTATTTTATCTTTATGGGTGAAATCTAGAAGCTTGAAGCTTTTTATCCCCAAAATTGAAAACGTGAACAAATAAAAATTAAAAAAAAGTAAAAAGAAAACAGTTGAACACAATTGCAAATTCAAAAAGTGAAGCAATGCGTTACATTTTTGCAAGCAGCTGTATAATATTTCTTATCGATGAATGGAGGATTCAACTAGTCATGATGTCACAGCGACTCTCAGCTGGAAAAACTGCCGTCAATAATCAGGGTTCATTCTTCATAAAGGAGCAGTGAAACACAATCACCAACACTAAAAGATAAACAGTTACAAACTGGATGAACTGATCTTTATGCATAATAACAATAATAGCATAAAATGTTTTAGAGTCAATATTTGCAGATTTACCAACAGTGAGAGAGGGAACCAGCAGGAGGCGCAGGATCAGGAGGTATTGCTCACTAAGAGGTGGATTCCACACCTGCACTGTCATTACTCCATATTTAACCTGTTTGAAGAAATATCAATGTTAATGTCAGTCACTGTCAATTAATTAATTAGACGCTGAAAATATGATAATACAATAAAACAAGACACAGGGATCCTTTCAATGACCCTTCAGTTATTAACATTTCTTGAATTAGTAGATTATTAAATCCTGCAGGTTTTATAAAAAGCAAATAGAAAAATTTTACCAATGAAAAATAAAGGAAGTTCATAAAACAGGGACCAGATCTGTTCAAAGTATTAATGATTATTACTCCAGCAGAAATAAATCCAGCTGAAGAAAAAAGTTGTCTAAAAATTAATTCCTCCAGTAAAGTATAGATAGACAAAATTTCTACTTCAGTAAGGAAATAACTCCAAGTATTTGGAGATGGTTACTCGACGCCTCTAATAGGAACAGATAATAGAAAATAAAATAAAAACATGTTTTAAAATGGAGTGAAATATCACCATAAAAGATTGAACTTATTCAAAGAATTAAAGAGTGAAGAATGATGACATTAAATCAACATATAAAAGTATTGGGGATGTATAAAGGTTAAAGTTCATTTTAAATATTCAATACTGCACAAAATACCTTAAATATTATCAAATGTAATCACATTACATGTGGATAACCGAGAAAAGATGGATGTAAACACTTTAACAGAACTTATAGAGAGTTTATATAAAACAAATGAAGAGGCAGATAGAATAAGTTTGTTCTTCTTTCATTCATCGAGGTTCGATTAGGGAGTCTGTGTTTGGTTGGATAAATGGATATAAATGAATGAATGATTGAATATGTCTGTTTTTATTTCAGGTTTTGCAGCTTATTTAGAGCTAAGAATCAGTTTAACTGGAGCTACGTGAAGATTAAATATTTTTCTAACAAATACATGAACTATTTTCAGCTACATTTTGACCCAAGCTGCACTATTTTACACGATTTTGGTTTTAATCATCAGTATAATAAGGTTTATAATTATATTTACTGCAGTTTAACAATATTACCGTCAGCTGATTAAAATGGACATTAGTTGTGTTTTCAATTTCACAGATGAAA